TGTGTTTTTGCTGACGGCACTATCAGCAAAGAAGTTTCTCTTCATATCGCTAAAGCCTGATCAGCATTTGCCAATCTGAAGAATCTGTGGCGTCGTCACGATGTCTCATTCTCGCTAAAGGGCCGTGTTTACAGAGCATCTATTCGTTCAGTATTGTTGTATGGGAGCGAGTCCAGACAAATTCGCGTGTAAGACATGCGTCGTCTTTCTGCCTTCGACAACAGTTGCTTAAGGAGCATCGCTCGTGTTTGGTGGTAACATCGAGTTCACAATGATGTTCGACGTCGCATCTTGGGGAATGCGACAAAGTGGTTTTGCTGCACCAGTTGAGATGGCTCAGTCACGTGCTACGCATAGCACCTGAGCGTCTACCGCGTCGCGCTCTATTCGCTCGTCAAGGACCTGGGTGGAGGTGACCACATGGTGATCAACTTTCCACTTGGTAACAACGCATGAAATCGCTGACGTCGCGTCTAGCCGCCGTTGGACCCATACATCTTTCAGGATGGAGGCCAGAGGATGAGGAGTGCTAATGGCTTAACACGCTTGAAGACATGGCCCACAACCGGAACCAGTGGAAGAATTGTGGACAGTACTGTGTTGATAAACATGTTGAATACTTCAAACATCGAAAATGACAAAAAAAGAGAAGCATGTGTGAAAAACATACATGTAGAAAATAAATTAAAAAGGTTTTGTACCGTTTTTTCTGCCAAATGTTCTTTTCATCCTGCGGCACAGTAGCTAAAGTGTGTTGCTCACCTTCAACTACCGTGCCACGATGATTATGACGCGGCGGCATGCCCCTTATCGGCTAATTGTTGTGTCGGACAGTGCTAGAGTAGAGCGTTGACCAATCTTCAGTGATGAAGAACGAGCAGGGCGAGTACGCAAAAAACCGTAGTTTTTTCTGAGAAGAGTACGTGAACCAACGCGGGTGAAGTGTTAACACCGTACAGCCTGCACTAATCGAAAGCGTGTTTGATCATGAGTCCTGATTCAAATCAACACTGGTCTGTTGATGGATATCTTTTCGATGCGTAAGGCATCAGCCGAGTTGACCTTGGGCTCACCTCGTTCGGGTTTTCGGGGCAGCTGGTTGAGTGAAGGCAATTCACGTGCTCCGCCAGTTTGCGCTCGAGAAAACGCACACTCCTAGCAAATATCGACCCAGCATGTGGTTTATAACGGAACGCCGTGGTGAAGTTTGGAATCGCTCCCGCTGCATTTTTTTTCGGGGCGGGAACTGATGACTTAATGTTTAATCATAGCAGCAAGTTTTCAAGAGTCCTTATCTGGGATGCCTCGAATTGAGTGTGTTGTTGGTGCACGATTGCCCCGAATTACTCTGTAGTTATTAGAATGTGGCGTAGGTTTCCGTCGCCAAATACATAGTGCCGAATTGATAAGACAGACTTACACTGAAGGAAGAAGATAAAAGGTGAAAACACAGCAAAATGGAGTGCATTGGACACAAAGACGTGAATCCATTGCACTGACAAAGCCCGATTGGTCAAGGATGCTGACCACAGGCCAACAATAGTCCAATGATCGGGGCATTTCCTGTCGGTTTCGAGCTGCCACTTGGGAATGTAACTGGCTTTAAACTTCTGACCTCAGCTTGTTCTGACATCCAGTCACGAGCTCCGTTGATCTGTGCTCAAAGAAATGCACGTTCGCATCACATATGAACTTTGAATAGAAGGTGCTATTGAGGGTGAATGGTTGGCGGCATCCGGTTTCGGATTTACCTGTCACTGTGGCCTGCCACAGGACGCCTGGGCTGCAAAGGCCACAGCTCCAACAACACACCTATATTAAGTGTAAACCCAAAGGAATAAGCCCAGAAGGCATGTGGATGGGAGCCATGTTTCATCAACGAAGCCGGCCCACACTCCTTCACAGGCAAACACAAGCACGCTGTAGTTGGGGAATCAAGCGCACACAAGGCGGTGGCTCAACCGTAGTCCGCTTCACAGTAAGTGCATGGAACCACTCTTCGAGCCTAACACGGCCACAAGGACTGTGCATCCTGTCCTCTCCAGCCACGACCAACTGTCTCCTGGAGCCAATATGGACGAGGTAGTGGGAAATAAACAGGTAGGCACCTTGTCAACATGCACATCAAGCGCAGCCACACCGGGGATATCAAACAACAGCCAATCACTTGAAATAACATTAGCAACTAAAATATGTATGTTAAAGCATACGGCTATGCAGACATAACTGTTCGCTAAATTGACATATGAACTAAGTTTGTTAGCAATGAATGCGCGATAAGTGCAAAAAGCCACAAGATACTCAAAAAATGCTACAAACGCAATAAAGTTAACGAAGATAAGCGCAATTAGCGCAAGCAAAATGCGCAAGTTAAGAGATTATTCAGGTGCGCAAAAATAAACCAATTAAAGTGGAATGAAATTAATCCAAATTAAAAAGAGTTAGTTAAAAAAAAAGAGTTAGTTTCAGTGTAAGTTGGTTTAGAAAAACTGCGGTGGGGAAGCATCAAGAATGTAACACCAGCCTCAGCATGGGGCACAACATAGGAGTACATAAAATAAATTGGTTGTCGAAAAAACCTCTATATGTTCAAGACGTCAGAAAATATATTTTAAGAAGATGTCACAAACGCGAAAATGTTATCAATGTTAACTCTAATTAACTTAAACGACGTGTGCAAGTTAATAGATAGTTCATGTAGACATTAATGAGACAATAGAGCAAACCCACCACCTAAAATAAAGAGACCCAGCATGCAAGCACGCGGTTAGTAACTCGAATGCAGCGTACCAACAATCGCTGCGCTGGTTCCGCCTACGTTCTCCGCAAGACCCGTCCTCGCTTCGGTGGTGGTTTCGAATGGCCTCGCTCATGGCTCAGTAGACCTGACTGACTCAGGCACTCGCGACCGCATGTGCTACAGCACCATGCGCTCGATGTTGATGGAGTACAACTCATGGGTGCTTGCCGCTTCTTCTCTGCATGTATGAGACGTTTTTCCGCACTTCGGCAACTACCTTCATGATTAGATCGCGCCATGCACGCCGATCAACCGCCTTCGATTCCCATGACCTGCAATCAAGATTAGAACGTGAGAGGCTCATTTTGATCATGTCCTGGTAACGTAACTTGGGTTTCCCCACATGCCGCTTCCCAACACACAGCTGACCACATAACAGTTGTTTCGGTATCTGCGTCGAATCCATAAGCCACACATGACCGAGCCACCTCAGATGTCTCAGCAAAAGTATGCAGTTCACTGCATACATTTCACTACGGCGCAACATTTTCATCTCCGCAACTCTGTCGCACCAACCAATGCGCAAAATTCATCGCAAACACTGTTGATGGAACCGCTCGAGATATCGCACATCCCGCCGGTACATCGTCCACGTTTCGCTGCCGTATAGAAAAACGGACAGCACCATGGATTTGTACACTATCAGCTTCGTGCCAATGGTAAGTTGACGGTTGTTCCACACTCGGTACTCAAGCTTTCCGAATGCCGCCGCTGCCTTCGAGACGCGGATACGAAGCTCACTGTGTAGCTGCTGGTCAGTCGACATCACACTCCCAAGGTAGAAGAAGCGGGAGGTGGTTTCCAATACTTTAGCACCAATGCTGATGCGCAGCAATATTGACGATTGCATCTCTGGTGAAGGCTGAAATAGACAGACAGTTTTGCTTGTGTTGATGGTGAGCCCAAATTTGGCCGCTGTCTAAGCCAGAGCACTAGTCATGTGCTGCAACTCATCCGCGCTGAGTGCAAACAAAGCACAGTCGTCAGCGAACAGCAACTTACGGACAGTTGTCTCACAGATTAGGGTTCTCGAACCGAAACGACGAATGTTCAGCAACCCACCATCAATACGGTGCTCCACACGAACACTGTAAGCACAAGCAGCATCAAAAGCACAAGACATCATGGCATGAAGATAAATAGTAAACAGGGCAGAAGCTAAGACACAGGCTTGCTTCACACCAGAGACAACTGCGAGTTCATCCGATGATTGCTCACACAGCTGCACTATCGTTCGCATACCACTGTGCAGACATTCGATTAAATTCACAAACTTACGCGGGCAACCAAACTGTGGTTGAATACAGACATGCTTACATGCCAGATGGTGGTTCCCTACTCAATGGAGGGGACTGAACGTGCTAGTAAAGAAACATAGCTCGAGTTGTTGGTCTGCTGACTATACATTTGTCCTTAGGCTAGCATCCGACTGTGGAGCAGGGAAATATGACTGAAACGATCATCTTTGTCGGAACTGGGTCGAGGCTGATTAACCGAAGTTTGATATAATCAGTGACGTAATTCAAATAAAAATGGAGGTCCCACATACATGGTTACCTAAGGCCATGCATAGTTAAGCAGAAAAAACAAATTTTCACAAATGGTGAAGATAGTGCAGGAAAACAGATTTGCGCAAGTAATTTCAAGAAGACGAAAGGCAGTAAAAAGAAGGCAACAATCAAGATCCCACTAAAACAATCATCCAGCGCCGTACTCGATGTATCAGACACACTGGTACGGGGTTAAGTGGTAGTGTAATGAACACAGCTTTCCTCTGGCGCAAGAGCATTTTAGTCAAAGGACGGTGGATGAACCAGATGAGAATTGCAGTGGTGCTGGTATACACAAACGAAGAGGAAAACAAGTTGAACGGTGCTACCATGTTAAATATGTCACTTAAATCTACAATCAGCAGGGCACCACCTTAGCTGATTACATGTCAGTAATATTTAGCAGAAACAACAAATACGCAGCGATGTCGATTTGGCAAACTACCACGCAATGGCAGAAGAAGCTTAATGTTTCTAACTAAAAAGCCCAGAGGATGAAGACAGACACGAACATGCAGATGAAGAGTCATAATCGTTAGAACGTCTGTACGTGGAACATGAAAACACATGCGACGCGCAGGTAAAATATAGAAAGAGGTAATGAACGTAAACGTGAATAAAAAATTGAATCAGTGGGTCACTGATTTTACCTCGATCACTACCGAAACCGCCACCGCCACCGCCACCGCCACCCCCACCACGACCACCACCAAAAGAAGCACCGCCTCGACCTTGGTCCGGTTGACGTTGCTTGAATGCAGGCATTTCCGGCGGGGGTGGCTCTAGTTCCCATGCGCGACCACCCCGGTCGGGAACCTTAAGAAAGGAAAAAAGAAAAACTTGGGAGAAAAACCGCCGATGGCAACCGCGTCAAAAAAGTAAAGTGTACCATGTTTTGATGGAATTCGTAACTTACATGGTGAGGATAGAGTTCATGCTAAGTACAAAGTCAGCCACCGAAATCTGCCAGCAAACAGTGCAATGTAAACGCAAAAGGAGGATGAGCTTGAGTGACAAAATTTGCATAAAACCCACCCCTTTAAGTGAAGTGGTGCTTATCATTGGTTACCGAAAGAGTGCGCTCATTGGAAGCCTTCAAGATAAGTCAGTCCTATTGGTGGACTACAAGGTAAACGATCAAACTGGCTCGCTCTCATTGGCTAGACAATTGGCCTCAGGCTGTGACGGGCTAAAGTTCTCCGGATTGCTGGCGTAAGGATCGGATCCAAAGGCTGCTATGAGTGGGCTCCCTTAACAGTAATATCAATAATTTATTAGTTCTGTTCATGAAAAGTCCGCCAGTCGATCACTGGAAGCTGCCGTCAGTACCGTTGAAGCGGCAGGAACCGTCATTTGTGATTAGGCCTAATACAAAGAGGAAGAGCACAGTAGTTGGGTAGCCCCAAAACACACAGCAGTGTTGCGGTGACCAGGAGAGACCTGATTCGACCTATGCATGGTGCAGAGTCAGATTATCGAAAGGACCAGATTGGGAGAGACTGCCCAGTACGCTCTTAAGTGACAGAATGTGTGATAAAGACTGTCCTCTTCAGTTACCGCTCGCTGTAATATCTGAGAAAACGCAATTACTTGACTGGTGTAGACTATACCATCGGATAGAAGAGATTACGATAGCGGTTAGGCCCCACCGACGAATCCTGAGCCTGTAAGGTCTGCGACATAATGATAACATTTTCAGAGTACTTGATAATGAAATGCAAATATCGTGGTTCACGTAAACGTAATATGGTGGACTAACGACGGCTGAGGACAATGAAGACATAAATGGTGAAAACGAACCTACGGGCAAACGGTAAATGGCAAAAGCACAAAACTTAAAACTATAAGAGTATCCAATTGACCACTATTGCACACCGCAGTGTACTTCATCACACGTGGGCCTCACTCAGAGAGACAGCATGCAGCAGTCCTATCAAGTTATACAATTAGTTTATCTGTGTATTTCACAATAATATCGATGGATGTTATAATCATCTCACTAGACGCGATTCCTAAACAGACACTTCACTGCTCCACAAAACATCCAACCCAACCTAAGGAAAAAGCAGAACGACAATGGCTTTGACAAAATAAGGTGTTAACCGCCGTCAACAAAACACTGTACAACTGAAGTAGACGTTGGCCGTATTTATAGGTCTCTTACTGACCTTCGACTTCTGGAATAGGAAGGTAAACAACCAAGGTCAGTTGTTCCACGTAGATCTGGCTGATCTTCAGGTTACTAGTCATGTGCAGCCATTGGAATATTCCAGAACTTTCGAAATAGATGTGATAAACGAGAACAATCGATTAATCGCTAAAATAATGGATTTTCCGGTGAATTCTTATATTCTCCCGGACAATTGAGATTGATAATCCATCAACCCGATGGAAATTTGCAAAAGCAAGATCAAAAATAGCCGGTGGTTGACGGGCCTTCGAACATCGTGACCTAGCCGGCTTAGATGGTACATAAACGAAGTATGATCTACTGTTCTACAACATGGAATCCTGCGGAGCCACAATTTATCAACTCCAGCAGTAGTTGCGCGGAAATCCAAGTAGAGAAGAACGATGAGACGCAGAAAACGGATAGAAAAAACGACTAATCACTAGCTATCCTAAGAAGGCGGTATCGTGGCTGATGTACACGGCAAGGACAGCTGATAAAAACGCTCTCTCCACATAAAAGTGGGACAATAAAAAATAATCGAACTTTGCTGAGGTGTTCTGTCACCACTTCGGCAATCGGACTAACTGATGTAGAACAACCACCCAGATAAGTGAAGCAATTGTCCACTTATAATGATTTTCCGGTAGCAGAAGGAGCTGATGAAGTTTCGGCTCACCCATGCAACCGCACGCAAGGCTATGGTGGGGGGGGGGGAAATACAAGCCAAAGAGTCAGTTAACCAAAAAGGAATTGTAGAGTGTGAGAAAGCCACTTTGTCCACGTGATCAGAGTACCGACTGGTCGCAAGGCGAAAACACCATTCCAGGAAGACTACTGGAACGACCACTAATGGACATTTGGATTAAAAAGTTGAAAAGGAAAGAAGAGATGGGGAGCATATTGCTTAGCAAGATGGTCTTAGGAGGCCGCAAAGTGATTCGACCGCTTCATCCATGAGTCAATCGTTCGAAATTAAGCAGGAATTAGTGATCTCGCAGCATCCCAGCCCGCAAACATCAAGTGGTGCTGCGTGGTAGCGAAATATCAGTACAAGATCCCAACGTAGGTTTGATGCCAGGAGAGAGTTCAATAACAATGGAACGATGGATTTATGCGGGTATAAAAGCTAAAGCTTGACAAATCCCGTAGGGTGATCAGTGCGAAAATCATAGAAGTGTGAAAAATTCAATGGAAACCAATTCAGTAAAATCGTTTAACAACGAGTCACTACAAGCTTGTGGACTCACCGAGTTTGAAGTGTCAAAATAATAATCCACTATAACTCCGGAGGGGATCATGAGATATGGAGAGTATTTGGTTAAAAGAGTCACCGCCCCTTGAAATTCGCGTGGGGCAACGTGTTTGAGTTTGAAGCGTCCAAATATACATCCACTGTTGAAATAAGCGTGGGGGAAAATTATTTTTAAAGTATGGATTTTGGATATCTCAAAATTAGACTGTACTATGGGAGATAGTGCAATGAAGTGAGTGCACTATCAACTCGATTTTTGAACTCGATCAGGTTTGGTGCACTGACTACAGATTCTGGGAGAGCATTCCAGGCTTGGCAAACACGCACGGAAAAGAAATTCCGTCGACATTCCAAACGGCTGTACTGCACTGCCAGCTTCAGATGATGGCCTCTCAGGTTGTTATTGTTACTGAGCTCCAGCAAATGGCGGCAGGTATGATTGGGGTCTGTCAGAATCTGATAAGCCAAAATCAAATCTCCCCGTAGTCTTCGATATTGACCACTAAATATCCCGAGCGATCTCAGTCTGTCTTCGTAGCGTAACTGGCCTAAACCTTTCACGTTCTTCGTTGCGCGTCGTTGAGGTTTCTCTAAATCAGAGAGGTCTTTCCTCAGCCACGGCTGCCAGACTTGTATTGCATACTCCACGTGTGGTCGTATGTATGGACCTAGAAGTTGGTGAAAAACGGATGGATCGAAGCGTCCAAATGTGCGCCTGAGAAGGCCCAAATTTCCAATGCTCGCGTTCGATGCTTTCTTTGCCTGGGCTGAACAACCCAGGTCGGACTGAATCAAGACTCCTAAATCCTTTTCCTCAGCAGTTGTGTGAAGCACATGGTCACCCAGTTTATAGAAAAATGCTGATTGGTGACGCAAGTGTAATACTCTGCATTTTTCTGTGTTGAATGGGAGTTGGTTCTGAACTGACCACGCATACACCTTATCCAGGTCCTCTTGAAGTATTGCGGAGTCGTCTGGTGTATTGATCGCTCTCCAGACCTTGATGTCGTCGGCACAGAGTAGGCAGTTGGAAAGAATGAGGGCCGCTATATCGTCAATATACATCAAAAACAATCGTGGCCCCAGTACCGATCCTTGTGGTACACCACATTCGACTTGGATTGGGTGGGACAGGGACCCACGCACTTTTACCTCTAAGCTCCGGTGGAGAAGAAAGCTTGTGATCCATCCTAGGAGCGGATCACCAATGCCAAAGCTCTGAAGTTTGCAGATCAGGATTCCATGGTCTAGTCGATCGAAGGCCTTTGAGAAATCTAGGTACACCACGTCCACTCCTGCACCGCTGTCAATTAATTTGGTCCAACTCGATCTTGCTAGCATCAGATTTGTGGTGCACGATCGATTCCGTCGAAAACCATGCTGTTCATGTGCAAGGAAGGCAGACTCTTATAGATAGACTGTTAATACGTCAGCAACAATAGCTTCCATAACCTTCGACAGGACCGGGAGAAGGGTTACAGGACGGTAGTTGGCTGGATCAGAACGGCTACCGCCCTTGTGAATTGGGGTTATGATCCCACATTTCCGCATCTCGGGTACATACATCTGATCGAAGCAGTGTTGGAAGAATCGTGCCAGAGGCTCTGCTAAACTTTCTCCCATTACCGCAAGGGACTTAGGGTGAATGTTGTTGATTCCAGGAGAGCTGTGCTTACGCATACACAACAACTTCTTTAATACCATCCCCGCCGTGAAAGTTATGTGCGTAAGTTTTGGTTGTATAACAGCTGCTGACAAAGGAACACATGACCAAGGAATGCATTGAAAGTTCGAAGCATATTGCAGCCGCAAGGCGTTCGCCGCATCCTCCGTAGTCAGCGTCATGCCATCTGGCGTTTGAAGAGGAGGGATTCCCCGTTTCACCTTGCGCAGGTTGTTTACATGTTGGTAGAGCAGCTTATGATTCGAAACCACGCGCTCCGTCAGATGCTGCTGGTATGTGAGTTTATCCTCACGAACGAGTTGAGTGCAATGATTACGTTGAATTGCATAGGTCGTCCAGCTCTCGTGCTCGGGTGTTCCTTATAGATACGCCAGGCCGAGTTCCTCACTGCCATACATTTCCGTGTCCTACTTCGCACAAAGGAAACAGTCTTCTTCGAGTGGACAACCTTAGTTTCGGATGCCTCTTCCACGAGAGTGCTAAATTGGTTGACGAAATGTGGCCATGCGATTGTCGGTACTTCGTCTGTCAGAAAGTTCCAGTTGGCTGTCTCTGCAAGTCGAGCCAGCTCATCGTACCGTATGATAACTCGGCTTTCCCGTATAGTATCCGCAGGGTATTCTGCGTAGCATATATAATCGAAGAGTAAGACTGCATGATCGCTGCAGCCCAAAGGAGCGTCGATGATTACTTTCTCGACCATGAGTTCTTCGTTGGTAAATATGCGATCCAGGATGGACGGCCTTTCTGCTGCTCTGAATCTGGTGGGATTGTCGATATGGCCATAAAGCGGAAAACTGGAGACAAGGTCTTGTAGATCCGCTTTGAACTGTTCCGTAGGTGTTGCTTGGGCATCCAGAGCGTGGATATTGAAGTCACCAGCGATAAGAATATGGCTGTATCTCCTGCTGATCACAAGCCTCAACGCAGACGCGAGGTTGGAGTCCATCTCGGGTGTAGAGGATGGAGGTCGATAAACGACCGCCACCAGACAGACGTCGTTGCTTGTTAAACGCAGCCGACACCAAAGAGTATCCTGCATGTTACTGTACACGTCTTCTATGGGCTCACATTGGAGGTCACTGCGGTAGTAGAGAGCCACCCCGCCCCCTTTACTGGATCGATCGCGCCGAACGACGGACATGCCTGGTAGCTCGACCTCCGTGTCTGTGATATCCGGGCGCAACCACGTCTCCGTTATAGCGACGAGGTCACAGGATTTGGACCTTTGACGTAGTCGCAGTTCGGGTATTTTGTTAAGTAGACTTTGAGCATTAGTGTACATACAGGACAGCTGCTTGAGCACCAAAAGGGCTTGTGGAGGATTACACGAAGTTGGATTTAAGCCGGCCGATGAAAGGCCGGCACCTGGTCGTTTTTTGCGCAGTTTATCGATGAGCACTTTGCACGGGCCTGCAGCCCACCTAACGTCGTTCCTGCACACGCAGAACGCTCTTCAATAGCACATTCTTACACGATCTAGGATATGGAGGGATAGGTGTCATAACAGAGAAATGTTACTTTATCCCGCTGTTCAAGGATAGGCAGCAACGAAAGCTGGAAAAATCATGAGTCAGAAAATACCTTCGAGTCAGGGAAAACTAGATTCGTAGGCCGTCCGCATAAGCTGCACTGATCCGGGACTTGATGAAACGCAAAGATGTCATCAACCCATCCTCTAATGGTTTTCGCTGAGTAGACTGACACGAGGATAAGTGGCACGCCGTATCACGATACTACTGAGCAGTTTCGAAACGGTGTACGTGCACCAACAACCACGACCTTACCCCACTAGGCGCGAAAATGACTGAATAGGCGCTACACGGAATAAAATAACCCCGAGCTCCTCAGATAACAATTACCAGATGCTTTCAGCGAGTTAAGAAAAAAGGCACCAGCAGTATGCCGATATGCAGCATCGACGCTTCGCTGCAGCACAATCACCACCGGTCGCAGGTGGGCTAGGATACTGTGAGGGTCGCTCTGCCCCTACATGGGCTCGAACCCGCGCCGTTAGATTACAAGACAAGCATGTTACCTTTAGGCTACGGGCCGGCGAGCTAGTTAACTAGGACACATGGAAACTAAGGAGTCCAGCTTAGAAAACGGAAATTGTAATAAATTACTACAGGTAAGAATGAAAAGCGGCTAACCTGACCGATTAATATCTTGTTCAACGTGCAAGTTGTAAAGCGTCGAGCATGTAAACCACTAGTCTTCTCGATCCGAAGAATCATATTGTCACGGACTGCCAATAATTCGGGAATGCCGGGAAACACAGGTTTGGTTAATTCTGAATAAATGGGCTGGTATGCAGCCGCAATGGCCTCCAGGTTACGCTGAAGAAACAGAAAGAAAACAGGTAAGGATTCGCTTGAGTGAGTCATATAGTAGAGTAGGGTGAATTACAAATTCACAAATTCGCCATTTTAACCATTTGTTCTACTCGTCAGCATATGGATATAATGTATTTTGCCTTTGTTACGTCTTTTGTTCACAACCATGCGGATTATTAAGCACGACCGTGATATGTGTTTATTCGCATCACCGTGGTTAACTGAAGCACCGTGCTAGTAAATCATTATCATGCACCTCACTGTTGATATGCTGGTCGCTGCTGTCCGTCTCACTGTTGCCCTAAACTCACCACTGCCCCCCGTTTAGCGCTGACCAGGAATACAGACTGGTGGGATTGTTTCGGTTCACTGTTGAGCAACATTGAGGCTACGTCTACAAACCTAGTCGTAAGTCATCCAGGTACATTTAAATTTACTGTTATAGAACCACATTTACGAATCTTGCTAAATCGAGTTTTGAGCTTTTGTCCTGGGAATCAAGCCGTGCGACAGACTAGACTTATAGAGTGTAATATTTCATCTAGTACCACTTCCATAGGGTGTACGGCAGACAAAAAGCTTTCCTCTAGTAAGAATACGTGCTATCTTTTCTCCCCAACACACTTGATGCTGAAACGCTAGAGGTACCTTAGGCATCCCGAGGGATCGCGTAAGCTTCTGAAATATGGACTAATTGTTTGTTGACAGTAAACGACAAGTCCGTTATTTATGCGAAAGGATTGTACCCTGGTTGACTTATGCCGAAGCAAGCAACCCGCGTTCCTCCCCTACTGGTTGGTCTGCGGCAAAGTGCCTGACTGCGCTATAAATTCCTTCGAATGCCTGCTCCCCTCTGTTATTCAGGTAAAAACGAAATCACTTAGGCTTCAAGTAGGATTAGTGCTAGGTACAATAGAGGATCAAAAGATGAGACAGTGGACTTACAAGTGCAAAGGTTGTAGAAATTCTAGGGTCAAGGTGGCAAGAAAAATCTCACTTGCCTTGGCTTTGTCAGACCATTTGAAACTTTGTACCGTCACGTTCAGGCGCTTTAGCATTGTGGCATGACGGACAGCGTATTCTTGCTGGAGTAGCCCGCTGATTCGTGCAACCTGCCCCCACTGTCTGTCGGACAGGCCAGTGAGCGGAAGAACTGGTTGGCCAAAATATGTAGAAGGACAGCGTTTCAGGGCTTTTATAGTCTAGAAAGATCAATGGAGGGGAAACGTCATAAATGGTAATGTGGGCACGGAAGAAGTTTTATTAACAGTAGATAAGCACAAGATAAAAGCCATAAACAGATAGCTTAGGCGCACAACATGATAGCTGTGTAAACTTCACACTCATTCTACACACCCCAGGATTTGTAGAACACGCGATAAGGAAGTGTGTGCCAAGTAAAGAGAGAGGCTGGCTTGCCGAACAACCTCCTGGTGGTGCCGGGTTGTTTGGGATTATTCCGTTTCTGCCAATGGTCCGGCGGCAGTGTTTCAGGATGTAGTGGAATTTGCGCTTGACAAGTCATCTCCCTCTAAAAAGCCACTTATGTCTGTTTGAAAACACTGCAACGTGGCGGAGGTGACTCGCCACTAAATAAAGCCACTAGCCCTTGCTTCACTCTGGTGTATCATTGTATTCCAGCAATCCGGTACTTAGACTGCAGGGAGAATTAGGCCCCTGTTTGGTAAGCGTTCAGACAAAAGGCGTATGAACTGAGTAATTCGTCAACGGCTCCCAATGGGCGCGAGTCCCTGAATTCGCTCCGCTACTCAACGGGGATGCTATTCAGACAAAGGCTTGGAGTGGTGTCCATTAAGACAAGTCCCTACCACGGCTTGGGCAACCGGGTAGTATCTCACCCGCTGACAGTACCATGGATTTCACTCCTGAGTTTTTCACTGCTTACGCACCTCCAACTGACACCAATCCTATCTTCGTCAATACTTCCTTTAAATCTAACTCTGATGACAGTCTCGCCCATGTCCAAAAATTCCGAACAATGGTCTTCATTCGACATCAATCACTATTTCAGGTGGCAGCCTACAACGTCATAACCCTTATGCAGATCGGACAATAAGCCGGCCTAGCAGGTAAGCTGGAGTCCCTCGTTAATGATGTCTAGTCATTCTGAAGCTCGGTTACAGGAACCCAACACTGTAGTTAACGTCCACTGCTGATGTAGGGACCAAATACTCCTTGCATCCATCTGGCGACACAGAGGCTGCTGCAATTTGCCTGGCTGGTGTTGGTATAGCATTGAGTGACAAAGCGGAGACCTCGCTGCTCGATTGTTTCTCGATTGACAGCCGATTGTACGCGCTTCGACTTCAAGGCTCACGCAGGATCAATAGGCATCGTCCGGAAAGACGCAATTTGCCTGTGACTTCCGCTGACGCAACAACCGACTACAGTTGTGCAGCGGTTAAAGACCACTTTTATCGCGGACTTCATAAACTTTTGAATAAAACCGAAAAATCCGATGAAGTCGTCCTTGCCAAGAGACGGCCGCCTGCTGGCCTGCAAGCGTCCTCTTGGTGGGCGTCATGCTCTTGATAAGAGTTGCTCCGATAACGGGGATGGACTTCACAAATTTTGTGAGAACAACTGGCTCTTTCTCGCGAGCACGAATTTCAGGAACACGACGAGACGCGTCAACACTTGTCGTCCCCCTCCGCCAACACAAGCGTGGTCACAAATTGATCACATTGCAATCAGCTTCAGATGGCCGGACAGTGTACAGGATTGCAGATCAAGTCGGTTCACCTATCTCGATTCAGATCATGCTCTGGTCTGTCCGAACATACGCATGTGGTTTGATGGTTCCTCGAAACCATAGCATCATACGCAAGTTACTAACAGGCTAGCTAACCCCTTCATTCAACTGGCCTATAATTCTCCTTATCATATGCCCACAATAGTGCTCCACCTACAGATGTTGAATATCACAATGGAATCGTCGTGGTGAGACAGGAATGCTCCATCTCCTCGTTTCGCAGCAACTTTGTGATTGAGGAGGTGCCGTTAAGCGCTCTGGAAGATCTGCGCTTTAGTGTATAGCTTCTTCCAGACGACCGCGCGACTGACTTGGACTATGCTGGTAATATCGTTTGCCAGATGAAGACCCACAGATCATGCAGTTTGTTCTAAATCGCATAGTGATTGAAGCTATGAAGTATGGCATGACATTCGCCCTATCGAAATACAAGGTCCTACTGCAGGATTGACATCCACGTACCCCGTGCTGATTCTTGAAGTGTGTAGCTCGAACAGGTAGATAGGCTCATCTAGCTTGGGAGCTGGGTTTCTCCCGATGGCATCATTGGAAGAGAGATTTCTTTCCGTATTGCCAAAGCACGATCAGCTTGCAGTGCGTTGAGGCATCTGTGGCGTCGTCGTGATGTTTCACTCTCGGTGAAAGGCAAGGCCTACGATGCCTGTGTTCGCGCGGTCCTGTAGTATGAAATGAGTGCTGACGGACCGTGTAAACGATTTGCACCGGATTTCAGACTTTACGACGGTTGTCTGCGGAGGATAGCTAGTGTGCGTTGGGAATATCAAATTTGCAACGAAGATGTTAGACGTCGCGTCCTGGGTAATACGGGCCTTCCAATCGACAAGCTAATACCGCTTCACCGAGTGAAGTAGCTAGGACAAGTTCTGCGCAAGCTGAGGGATCTCTTCCCACGGCGTGCTCTATCCGCTTGCGCAAACATACTGGAAGAAATCGCGCGGTAGTTAACCTGCCATATGGCGACAGAATGTCAAGGCGCTGAAGGTTAGTTTAGCTATTATCAGCGCCGTACGCTTTCCAGGCTACGGAGTCAGAAATGAAGAATACACATGTATGGACACCCTTGAAGACATGGCGCATAACCGTGGTTAGTAGAAAGTTCACATGAGTCTATGTAATGAATCTGCTGAACGAAACCGTAATCACTAAACTGCTAAGAAGCAGCGTGTAAAAATATGTTCAATGTTCATTTTCCGTTTTTGATCTTTTTACCGATTGCATACATTCATTCCAAAGTTATGGATGCATTTAGGCCATTATATATATATATATATATATATATATATATATATATATATATATATATATATATGCCCCATGCTGAAACTGATGTTGCATTCTTGATGCTTCTTCGCCGCAGTTGGGCTAAACCAACTTACACTTAAACTAGGTCTTTTTAAGCTGGAAAAAATTTATTCCACATTATTTGGTTTGTTCTGCCTACCTGAGTAATCTTCTATTAACTGGCCACGTTGCTTACACTAATTGCGCTTATCCTCGGTAATTTTGTTGAGTTTGTAGCCCTTTTAAGTAACTTGTGGACATTCTTTCCTCATCGCGGATCCGTTGCTAACCAACTTACTTCATATGCTAAGTTAGCGAAGAGTTATGCCACCGTATCTGTATGCATTATTGGATTTGTTTTATTTTATCTTGTCGTTTCAAGTGACTGGCTGTTGCTTGTTATCCCTCGTGTGGCTGCGCTTGCTGTGCATGTTGACAAGGTGCCTACCTGTCTATTACCCACTACCTCGTCCATCTGGCTCCAGGAGACAGTTGGTCGTTGCTGGAGGGGAGGGGTGCACGGTCCTTGTGGTCGTGCTAGGCTCGAAGAGTGGTTCCATGCACTCAGTGTGGAGCGGACTACGGTCCAGCCACCGCCTTGTGTGCGCTTGGTTCCCCAAATACAGCGTGCTTGTGTTTGCCTGGGAAGGAGTGTGGGCCGGCTCCGTTGATGAAACGTGGCTCCCATCCACATGCCTCCCGGTCTTATTCCTTCGGGTTTACACTGGATATGGGGTGTGTAGATGGAGCTGTGGGTGGTGCAGCGCAAGCCATCCATGGTCCCTCTGTAGGCGCAGGCGTCCTGTGGTTGGCCACAGTGACAGGCAAATCCGAAACCGGATGCCGCCAACCAAATATATATATATATATATATATATATATATATATATATATATATATATATATATATAGAGAGAGAGAGAGAGAGAGAGGAGAGTAAAACAGTGGGTCCCTTCAGCCATTTCGTCAGAGCAGTGAGAAGACATAAGTTGCGATATGTTAACATTTCGATTGTTCTCTTCAGTCGCAAACACAATACAAGCGGGACTAATGAACAGTTATATACAGGGGGAAAAAGGTTACCGTGGTCTTGATTTTTACATTTTGATTGGTGTGCCAACTTTTTCCCCCTGTATATAACTGTCCATGAATCCCGCTTGTATTGTGTTTGCGACTGAAGAGAACAATCGAAATGTTAACATATCGCAACATATGTCTTCTCACTGCTCTGACGAAATGGCTGAAGGGGACCCACTGTTTTACCTTTCTGAAAAGAAGACTCCCCGTTATCGTTGCGAAGGCATTAGATCGATTGTTATCTTTGCGCTGTAAGTTAACTGTGGAACGCCTCGAGAGAATTTTCGAAGGTATCCGTTCAGTTGTTTCCGCGAGATTTGCCAAACTTCAAGCAACACGTCGGCGCACATCGACGCCTGTCTTGAACGAGAAGGAGACTTCCTCGAGACGCAGAGGCGGTTCGCATGCGTGCTCAAATAGTTGTCGTTGGTTTGCCGGTTGAAATTTGAGGCCTTTTCTGCTGACATTATCCGTCGCACAAGAACGAAAACAGTCCGCAATCTGCAGGGTTCCCTTGCAAAAGCCCCAAACGTTGCCTTCCCTACTGAGTGCTTAAAGCATGTATACAATCTGTCATCCGTACAGTTCACGCGCACACAATTGGAAGTTCTCTCACTTGGACTGAAGTACCGATTGCCTCCAAAAGCTATAGATAAGCTCAACACGCAGGCTCAGTTTGAGTATCTGAATGAGCAGCTCAGTGACCATGCGCCAAGGTCAATGGAAGATGCGGGTTGGTTCCGGGCAAAATTGGTAGATATTGCGAACCAATACATGAACACGCCGATAAGCCAGAGATGCTGTCTGAATGCCGAACACTATACAGCGATAAAGGAGTTAAAACAAATGGGACACGTAATGTTTCTGCAGCCGGATAAGGGATCAGGCATTGTTATAATGGACCGAACTGACTACATTGCAAAGATGGAATCTATTTTGGGGGACAGAAGGAAGTTCCAGTTAGACAAGACACCAGAAAACAACATCTTGGTCGAGAAGCAAGTGGCGAGGAAACTGCAGATTCTTTTACTACATGGTTACATCAATGACTCGCAATACAGGCGGTTGAAACCGACCGGCACTCAGACACCCAGAATGAGGGGCGCTCCCAAATTACACAAGGCAGGTAACCCACTGCGCCCGATTATGTGTATGAACAACTCACCATATCACAACGTTGCGCGGTGGCTAGCGAAAATGTTGGAGCCGGTACGCAAACTCCTGGCCACGTATTGCCTAAAGGATTCCTTTGAATTAGTAGAGACAGTGGAACACATGTCGCTGGGTGCGGAGCACATGTACTCAATAGACGTCGACTCCCTATTCACAAACGTGCCTCTACGTGAGACAGTTGACAATTTGTGTGATTTCATAGCGAGTCAAAACATGTATGTTGGCCTGCCGTTGGAGTATTTGAGGGATATGATCCTACTATGCACAGAAAATATACGGTTCGAGTTTGAGGGCACTGCTTATAAACAGGTCGACGGCGTCGCCATGGGTAGCCCTCTTGGACCAGTATTAGCAGATATTTTTTCGACCTGATAGAAAAACAAGTTACTGCCAGCATTGGTGAAGCTACGTTGTACAAGCGGTATGTGGACGACATCCTAGTCTTCACCAGCAACGAACATTTTGCGCGGCTATTGACAGTTCTGAATTCAACTCATTCAAATCTATCGGTGTCCCATGGTTTGCGCAACATAATTGTCTGCCATTTTTGGGTATACTCAATTAGAGAGGGACCGATGGTACACTACAGCGAACGGTTCATTGCAAGGCAACTTCGAGGGGGCAGTACCACCATTTTTCCAGATTTGCCCTGGTCGCGTGCAAAAGTGTCTTAGTGAAAACGCTTTTCTACAGAGCCAAACGGATATGCAGCCCCGAAATGTTGCAAGCTGAAGAAGCATTTTTGTTCAAAACCTTGGTGTCAAATGGGTATCCTGAGAAGTTCATTCAGATCCACAGCAGGCCTCCCAAGGAGAAAATACCGGTGTTAACCGCGGAGAAAAAGAATGTTTACTTGTTCTTGCCGTTCAAAGGAGACCATGTATCGAATGATATCGGACATAAACTCCGGTCTGCCCTTACGCGCACCTACGCGACCGCTCAGTTGCGACTCATACATACAACACGAAGCCTTGTTCTTCATGACCGTCAGAGCAACTCATCAGTCAGTTCGGCCTCTCACGTCGTTTACCAGTTCACTGCGGTTGCGGTGACATTTACATAGGCAGGACTGACCGTCAGTTAGCTCAGAGGGTAGCTGAACATGTACCGAGGTGGTTGGAGCAACTGATGACGCAACAAGACGGAGTGAATCCGAGGAGGAACAGGAGTCCCGCATCATCTATCACCAAGCATCTCTTGGCAACCCGACATCAGGTGAACCCGGATACTGCGTTCAAGGTGTTATTGCGCAACAACAATCCGATTATCTTGGCAATTAGCGAGGCTTTGCTAATTAGGGCTTATCAACCTGTGTTGTGTGCACAGAAACTATTGAGACATTCAATTAGGTTACCGTGGTCTTGATTTTTTACATTTTGATTGGTGTGCCAACTTTTTCCCCCTGTATATAACTGTTCATTAGTCCCGCTTGTATTGTGTTTGCGACTGAAGAGAACAATCGAAATGTTAACATATCGCAACTTATGTCTTCTCACTGCTCTGACGAAGAGGCGGGAGAGTCCACAGTGCGCTGAACCATGTGGTAGCTAGATCCTGACAGAGTGTCGAACCACTGATGCTTATCTTCTGCTGTAGCCCCGTCCTGGACACTTCCTCGTGGCGACCACTGGGTGAAGTTGGATTACACCCTTCTTCTAGCTAACATCCAGGAAACAATTCCGCGTGAGTCGGTTCACTGACTCATGGAGCCGGGCCCACTAACTTTCGGGTTATATTTTATCGAAAACTTCAGATGAGGACGCAAGTCATTCTCCTGTCAGATGTGGACCTCATGGCTGTATTCTAATCCAACACTTCAAATATGAATTACGCCAACAATAATAAATCCATGGTGCATCGGCCGTCGCGCAGTGTCACTAAGAAAAGAAACGCCTTACCTGCTGCGTACAGCGAGGTGGATAAGTGAAAACGTGCTACTGCTCGCGCCTCCATTCATTTTTTTCTCCTCTGAACATACTCACTTCGTTCCCGTCTCACCAAATCCATTACTTCCTTGAATCCAGGTCGTCACCACCCATACGATTACCAATCAACATAATTGTATACCTCCGCGCAAAGCCCTCAACATCAGGTGCTAGAACGTGTGCACTTTGCTCGACCGAAATGCGAGTGAGTGTCCCGAGTGACGCACTGCACTGGTGGAGATAGAACTTGCGCGCTGCAACATCGGTATTGTGGCGCTCAGCGATACCCTGCTCGCTGAGCAAGGTAAGTTGCATGAAGCCTGTGTTGGCTATACGTTCGAGTGGGTGGGAAACGGCACTTTACACCACGTGAACATGGGGTCGGATTTGCAATATCCGATCGCCTGAATGGACACATAAACCTCCCATTATATCTGTCTTGGTCTAGATGTACAGCTGCTGAGCTGGAAAAAGCTATATACCTTTGTCATTCACTACTCCCTTTAGAACGCCATAGTGGATAGAAAATTTTAGCATAAACTAGATGGTATGTGCTGCAAGTATGATTTCAGCTAATGTTTCACTTGCCACCACAAAATTACTCTTCATCCTTAACCTAAGGAAAAGGAGACTAGGTTCCGTCTGTACACGCCATGAATAATTCTGTGCCCATCCAAGACCTTAAACTGAACGACCATGGACGCTAAAACAAGATGCTAATTTCTGCCAAACAATTGGAACATGCTGTTAATATTGTACGAAACAATAGTATAAACTTCATTATGCCTAAAAGGGAATGTCACGTAAATCCGAGAAGATACGTTATTATTAGTAGTATATAACTGGTATATAACTGGTAAGCGAAATTTACGCCGTGATTGGAATCCATCGCAGACATATGAAAATAGTATTTAAAAAGCAGACTGTAAGGCTTGTGAATAAATTAAACACCATCCAAAGAAAACCACGATGAATATGAGCATTATCTGCGTTTCGGAGGCTGTTTTATTTCACAATAGAATATCCTAGAACGTACCGCGTTGTTGATTGCATCAAATGTGGTAGAAATGTCAAAGCCGGGCGTTGGAGAAGGGATCCCAAGTGACGTACAAGCCAAAACGATACACGCACTTAGTTCCTTGTCCAAATTTGTAGTGGTGAGCTGAGATACATGACTGGCTTGAGAAGAATCCAGCGATGCAGCTGAGTCCAAACGACGCTTGGCTATCAGTTCGGTGCAGAGATATCCTAAAAAGGGACAACGACACAAATACGAGTGCCAAATAGAAAGGTAAATAATGCTGAAATTCAGAATGAACACCGACGACATAAGCAGTTGGATTATTCAGGTGCAAGAAATCACATGGAGTGAAGTTCATCGATGTATTGCGCCTTCAGGATACTATCAAGTCGCCCATGTCTGGCCTGGCGAATGATTAGCGTTCTCAACCAAAACTTATGGTACAAAAACCTGACCGCAAGGCAGCGGGTTTGGCACTGGGCTATGAGGAGTCCGTTTTAAGGAATAAGGAGTCGCCCTTACTCCAACCCTAACCTGGAGGACGAGGCTGTTTATCTGGTCTCTAACAATTGAGCAATGTGGTATGAGTGACTCTGAAGGCGTATAAAAGCACCACACAGCATAGCTCAATGGATCACTGAGGCAAGCAAATCATCGCACCACGGTAAGGCCCAACCTTATGGCGATGGAAGAGAAATGAAGGCCTTTTGTTCCAAGTTGGCCTCGGTTAGAGACTGTCAGCACCCTAGTTGGGATCCGAAAGACGAGGAACACGTTTGACTGGATACACTTGTTGACATGGCTAGGAGACGACTTCAATGGCATTTGTGCTGTGAGTTGCTTTGTCCTCCTCCATCCGACCACGATCTCATTTCCTAGCACATCATAAATTTTGCAGAATGTAATTTTTTGCGGCACAATGGCAGGCTGTTAGCTCTCTGGAACGATGCCCATTCGTTACTGGTGGCCCAAATGGCGTGCCTCTGTTGCAAGCTTCTTTCTTTGTATGTATCGTAGCACAACAGCTGAGGTGCTTTCCACCTTTAACTAACGCGTATAATGATGATGATGTATCAGGCGTAAATAGCTGACCCAAGGGGATTTTCCTGAAGTTAACTGCTCGGTTGACGAAATTAAACGTAGGTAAAACACACGTCAAATATTCACAAGTGACATCTAATGGGAAAGTGAGACAAAAGTGCGGAAATAGTGATAATAACCCACAGTAGTATGCTTGTTTAGACCTTGTCAATGAAACTGTAATGATAGCAATGTCGAAACAGTGAAAAGATGAAAGGTGGATGAAAGAGTGAGCATACAGATCTACGGAGCCGAAAGATTCTAGTGAACCATTATGAAACGTAGTATGGAACACTAGTTTCGGCCAGAAATAACTGGTGATACAAGCAATTTGGCCCACCCGAACCGCAGAAAATTATGTGACTTAAAAGGACGTCATGAACTACCGGTGGTATAGTGAACCAATAACTGTGAACTGTGGCCCCTAAAATGCCTCGTGTCTCATCAAACATTGTGTCTCAACCACCGGTAAGGTTTAAAACCAGTCTGTGCAGCCAAACAGAATCTTGATACTATTGGTGATATTGTTACAGTTAACTTTACATAAACCTTCATCTCTGCCTAATTATCTATCCAACGCCTTAAGATATATGTTAAGAGGTAATTACGAACGTGTCTTCAGATGCTATGAACTTTATCACATACTAGTTCATAAGTAGAAGTAATGAGGGTACAAGCTAATCTCAGTCAACTGCTCTAAATACCTTCCTCAGGAAATCGTGTTCCTCCCGAGATGATCCCTGCCGCTATCAAATAGCATCCAATAGATGCAAATGCCCCCAAATGTGTCCCGTTCATTGGGTGACCAATCCCAAATCAGCTGCTAGTATATCAGACAAGCACATGGAATGGAGTGCTAATGGCACATTTTGGATTGTTCACGTAAAGAACAGTACGCATTTAGGGAGCTTCGCGCCCTTCGGATCTAATTGGATGGTGGTAGGGATCATCTTGAGAGATCTATGGCGTAACAATATTTCCTCAGGGAGGAATTTGAAAGCTGTATGGGCTCAACTGATAAAAGGTATAGAAATAAGAGTGCCTGACATTCAATGCGCTAAACGTGCGAACACTATTAACGATCACGGTACAAAGAGACTTGTATAAATTAAAATAAAGTCAAGTAGAATTTCGTTCAGTTCAGTTGAACAAATAGGATCCGAGCAACAAAGTGCGGTGGATCAAGTTGCCACGACATGCATTGCAAGAATAATAATAAATAACAACCGCAAGACAGTGGGGCTGAAAGCGAATAGAGTGTAAAGAAAATTGAAGTGAGGAGATGCGGTAGACCAATCAGAATGGGACGACATTTAACAACCAGATGCAAGAAACCGAGAAAGGAACGCCACTGTCTGCGTGACTGCGCCATGTCTGATGGAGCCTCTAACGACTGGTGTAGACCAGTCCGGGGCTCCCATCCACGAAGACGGCACCAGCCTGACCGTTCCTCAGTCAATTTATTCATGCCTCTATGCTATGTCATGGACTGACCACTTCGCCGTTTCGCCCAACTTGGTGCAGCCATGGAGTATAATGCGCAACCGGGCATACAGAGGACATGACCTAGCCAACGTACACGATTAAGATCAAGAAAAAAACGAGCGAGGTACCAGAAGGCTTCTCGTAAAAACCAACTGGCGGACCTCAGCATTGCTCCCCTGGTGTTCCCACCAGACGTGAGCAACACTCTGCAAGCACCGGTGATCAAACGGGGCCAAGCGCTCAGTGTCTTCGTCACAAAATGGCCAGGTCTCTGGTCCATACAGTAACATAGGCATTATACACGCGTTATACACCCTACCTTTCACTGACAGGCTGATATCCGCCGTCACCATAGATGATTGAGCCTCAGGAAAGCCACATAAGCCTTGCTGATGAGCGAACCGGAGGTGTGCCGGTCCAGTCATCCTTTGTGAGCTTCCTGATGGGGGTCTTGGCATAAAACCGCTCAAATAATTCGCTATACCTTCACGTCGTTAGGTGGCAGCATCTCCTGTATTGCCTCAATTTTTCCTGCATTGACCATGATCCCTACAGTTGTTAGTATATGCCCATGGAAAATCACCTCGTCTTTCCGAAGTTCAATTTTCTCATGTCTAAGCTTGATGTTCTTTGGCACACAACGCTTCCAGAAACACTGAAGATTAGCGTTATGCTCTTCTTCAGCCGAGCAATAAATCAAAACATCATCTGCCACACATGTTACACTATCTAAATCGTCTACCGCTTGCACAATCGTATTTGAAAATTCTCACTAGAAACCTACAAACCAAATGGCAAACGCAGGCAACGATAAAGCTCGAATGTTGTGTCAAAGGTAGTTAGGAAAGTGGATTCGTCATCTAAAAAGACTTGCCAGAATGCAGTAGACTAGTCTACCTTCGTGAAATACTAAGTTTTGTCCAAACACAGCAAAATGTTTTCTAGGGTGATAGGGCATAACGCTCTCTCCACAGGTCCTCATTCAATGGTTCCTGGTCAATACACAAGTGCAACTCGCTTGTTTCTTTGTAATGACTGCGACCTGACAAACTTAATCAGTCGGCTCGTCAACTTTGGCAACCACACCCTCCCTCATCAATTTGCTCGATACAGCGCAGAAGCTGTCAGGTCACGCAAACGGAACTCCCCTAGCCGGCAGCGCAGTCGATTGTACCAAGAGATCTAACGACACGTGAGAGATTCTGTAAAATTTTCCAAAACCCGACCTATACACAGACGACACTGGTCAATAGTATAGGTTTCTACCTGGCAAGCATGCAAGAAACGACCATGATTAAAAGTAACAAAACAGAAAGACTGAATTGAATCCGTGCGTTATACAACCTACCTCTCACAGACATGCTGATATCCCGCAGTCACCACAGATGATTGAGTCTCCGTAAAGCCACACGGGCGTTGCTGATACGCAAAGTAAGCTCCTCAGTGATGTGACCACGAGAGGTGACACAGTTGCCAAGGTAAGTGAAACAATCCACCACTTCCATTGACTGTTCGGTGATAGCTAGAACCGCAGATAGGTAGATCCAGTTCTGCAACAGTATTTTGCACTTTAAAGGTGCAAAGCATACGCCGAAGCGTGCGGCGCTAAGCGTCAGTCTATCCAGCAGTGTTTGCATAGCCAATACGTCGGACCCAAGAAGAGCTATGTCGTCCGCATAGTCCGGATCTGTCGGTCGGTCGCCTGGTAGAACTTTCACTCCGGTAGAATTTGTAAGAACGGAGACATGATCGTTTCGATAACAAAGTTAAAGAGGAAAAGAGATATAGGACAACCCTGGCGAAACCCCACTTGTCGTGAGGAACTCAAGACAATTTCCCGTAAACCCTTACACGGCCTCGGGAGTCACAGTAGAGGGACTTAAGAATGGAAAGGAATTTAGCCGGCACTCACAACATGGATAGGCAGTGTCACAAGCCGGCATGGTCAACAGTGGTAGGCAACTTTCAAGTCAAAGAAAACAACCATTGTCGGTTGTTTGTATGTGTCTCCGTTCTAACACTAGGCGAAGAGTAACTATGTGGTCGATACAACCACGACCAGGACGGAAGCCAGCCTAGCTTTCGGTGATTCGGTTCTCACGGGACCAGTAAGCTGTCGGAGAATGATACTCATGAGGAGTTTGGATGTAATGGAAACAAGGCTGATGTCTCGATGATTTTCGCACCAAGTACGCCGACTCTTCTTGAAGATGGGCACGACAGGTGACAGTCGCCAGTCTGAAGGTACGTCATCACTGTCCCAAATCATGTTAAATGGAGTAGCGAGTCCAGTCAACAAAGGGTCATCCCCATCATTCAGGAGAGATGGAAAAGGTCGTCGGGTCCAGAAACCTTGTTTTGTTTCAACATGGAAAACTCATGTCGAATCTATTCCAAAGTAGGCGTGACATCTACTTCTCACGACGACTCAGGCGATTCAGCAAGCGGCAATTTCGAAACAGGCCTGCTGAACTGCTCCTTAAAATGTTCCGCCCAGTGGGCTAGTTGATGACGCTGAAAATGGATAAGCTGCCCGTCTTTCTTAGCTAATGTCTCGCTAACGGATGGTTTTCACGGACCTCTGTTCCGGATTAGCTGGAATAGCACGGGTTTTCTCCAGCTCACAAGCCCTTGCCATCCACAAACGTTCCCGATCTATTCGAAATATCCTTGCAATGCATCGTTTCAGAGAGTTATGGACATGCTGAAACTCAGTGTCCATTGGAACTAGTTCTCGTGTTTCGATCAGGTTGGTCGATGCCTCGGATTCATTCGCAGTTACGACGTCTCAAGTTGAGCGTACAGCACACGTTAAAGGCATTCTTCATAGCACATTTGAGGCGATTCCAGTCAGCGTTCAGTTCCTCAGCCTTGTTCATCATTGAAAATTGATGGGCCAGTTCGTCGTGATATTGTTGAACTGCAGATTATGAGTTCAAATTACAGATAAGAGAGTTAGAAGATAGCCGCTTCGGTGAAGCGGGAAGAGTGAACACCAAGCGTGCGCGCACTAAAGCATGGTCGGAATTCAGGCACCTGTCCCATATTGATCGACAGTCTTAGACTGATGTGCGCCATCTGTAGCTGATTGCAATAGGGTTAATTTGGGTCCAGGTCATTGAGGGATTCGGTTGACGCTGGGTGACGCAATGTGAACGTTTGTGCTGGAATGTAGTGCTGCTAAGTTGTGGTCAGCGCACAGTTGCAGAATTCGACCACTAATGTCTGTTGGGCGTGCATCGACTCCGAAGCGGCCGCCCAGGTGCTGTTCAGAGTCTGAAAGATAACCCACCTGGGCGTTCATGTCACCATCAACAACCACGATGTCAATATTTTTCGCCATAGGAAGAAGACATCAAAGTTCAAGATAGGAATCGTCTTTGATATCCTCTGAACTGCATTCAATATGGGCATAAGCTGAGGCGATGTAAAAGCACGTTGGCTTCAGACGCTGCGTGTTAACTCCAATAGAGCTTCGAAGTCGAACCGCGCACAGAGATGCGAGGACTGTGGCAATCGTCATCAGATTCAGAACCAGGGAGTCAAAGACTTGTCGAGACGCTGTTATCAGGTATGCGTGTTTCGGAGACACAGCATACATCAATAACAAGGAGTGAAGAGTGAGAGTAAGTGCTGCCTGCTAGCCGATCTGACCTACAGTGCGGACGTTAAAGAAACCAATGTGAAATGAAACGCTAGGCTTGATGGAAAAGCTATATGTATCGATGGCAGCAGTTGCGAGGTCAATGGCAGTCTAGTGCTCAGTAGAAGACAAAGAGAAGAGGAAAACAAGAATAGGGAGTTTTGTCAACATGGTCGAGAAGGCAGATGATACTCTCCGGCTGTCCATTCCAAAAGTGGGATTTTGTTTGAGGTGCCCTGCCTCTAGCCTTTGACTCAACAGTGACCCAGAAGGCAGTGGAAGATATAGAGGTTCGCTTGAGGGACTCAATTCGGAGCTTTTGGCTCAATAGCCTGACCGGCAAGGCAGTGGGGAGTAGATCTAACTAGGGAACTTGATTGCAGAGACCCATTGGGATCTGCTTGAGGCTTATCACAAACATGAATTGAAAATTTAGAACAAAGCACATGTTTTGCGACCGTATTAGGTTACGCGCCTGTGATCATGGCCAGCCGTATGTGGAAGTTAGCGGGTTTGCACCAATTTAACCAAAAGCTGCCTGGCTTGATGCGGGTGGTAGCAAAACATTGAGCACCTGAAGGTGTCGTCAGGGACAATGCGTGGCGCTTATGCCCTACGCCAATCGAGCTTTGAATTCATAACTCTGTTGTCTCCCATGGCTAGTTTTTAAAGGAAGAGGGCCATCGATCTCTCCCTGACCTCCGAAGAGGATCGCATTGTGAGACCGACTTAGTCTGGAGGTCTTGTTAATGTACGTCTTCTGAGTTAAAAAGTGCCTAGTCCTGGAATCGTAGAGTCCCCGGAAACACAATCCTAAACAGGAAGACGATTGACGCCCTACACCAAAGCATTTGGTTGAAAAACTTGGCTGCAAATCATTGAGAACACTGCGATGGGCAGGTTTTACATAAACGGTTATCACTTTCGTCCCAAATTATAACCTAAAGGATCAGGAGATTGTCTGACCTTTATGCAGTGCCCATACTAAGAAGAATACTTATTAAGGCCAGTAGACAGTTATCCAACGTTAATGATTGCTCTCATTGATCAGCTCCTGTTTTCCGGTGAGAAGACGAGCGTAAGAGCTAATTTTATCCACATTAAAATACAAATCGTATCTCGTAAATCTGATAATTAGGTGGTTTGATCCACAAACATAACTAAAATGAGTGACCACTGATCAGAGGTAGAATGGCTGCATGTTGGAAGGACTATTTGACTTCAGAACTCAAAAGAGAAGTGAGCAGCGGATAGACATGAAACTGACTGACGGATTTTTAGGTAATCAAGGCGGACAGTACACGGAAATCGGACCTGACGGAGAAAATCACCTAAAAAATAATGCGGAATCGTAGGTTTCGTTACGGTAAAATAATAAATAGCATGAATGCACAGAAAACGAAGCGGATAGTGTAAAGCAAGTGATAGAAGTCACACGTAAACCACTTACTAAGCAACAGCATTCGATTGTCCAAAGTACCAAAGCGTTCATCCAAAGGGAGCTTCGTGAGGACTGAGTACGGGCAACCTGAAATCAGTAAAGAATGAATTTGGGCATTTGTCGTAAGGCTGACGTGCAGCTAGAGGGAAAAATTGTGTTGGACTGATTTTACGAGGGAAGGCATTGACTAATTGCTTTGACCAAGAATATAAGCAAACTGGAGACGTAGAGCACCTCTAATGTCAACGATCCCTGTTGATTCGATTACGGAATCGAAAATTGCCGAGGAGCAAATTACGTGGATTCAGAAACTAATCAGACAGACATAGTCGCGAAACTATTGCACTGAACCGTAGCACGTCGCAAAAAGGACAGAAAGATATGGGATCAAATGTATTAGATATAAAAAGATCAAAAGGTGATACCTAGCGTATACTAAGATGACAAAAGCGCTTACCAAAGAGACGCGTAGACAGCACATACCACAGAGAAGTGGAGATGAAATGCAATAAAGTTCTTCCGCAATGCGTCCAACTGCAATCTGTGAAATAGTGACAAGCCTAGCTTGCTGGAGGCTAACTCCCAGCAACCAATAGGATATCTGATGCGCGCACACAATAGTACGTATGCCACCGGCTTCCGTGAGAGTGACATAGAATATTAAGTAGGCGTCCGAGCCAATTGGCTAAGCGGTTAGTTAAACGTCCCAGAAGCGTTTTGTGTCCTCTGTCTTTCAGACCCTGCAAACTATCGCACATTTATGGAAGCGGTCGTCGCTGAGGTTTTAGTGGACTAATTAAAAAGGCAACACCTTGGCAACTGAGCATCATGGCTTCCATCAATACCGGTTACTCACTACTAACCTGCTGGTGGCACGAGGTGGTTAGATCGAGGTGGCTGATGATTGGGCTGAATCAACGTCAGCTACTTGGGCTTTTCAAGCTTTCGACTACCAACATCACCGAATCCTAATTTACGGGCTACAGATCTATGGAATTAAGGATCCTGTCTTTCGGTGGATCGTCAAGTTTCTTCACCAGTGGAGGCTTCAACTGTATGTTAAGGGATCACTCCGCACGCAGACTGAAGTGGAATGCGGCGTTCCACGGGGCTCGGTACTGGGACCGCGCTTATTCTTGGTGTTTATCAACAAGGTTGCAAGAGTTGTCGGCTTTAATTTCCTGCTTTTCACAGTTGACGTCAGCAAATGACGAGCGATAAATAACAGTGAAGACCACGATTTCCTCCAACGTGACGTGGATTGTTTTTATGAGTGATCAGCGAGGAACCTACTCCAGTTCAACACAGCGAAGTGTGAGGTGATTCATCTGCGTCATCAATCGGTGGAGAACACACCCTGCAGAAAAACACACAGGAGCGTGACACCGAAATACTGATTAGGGACGATCTTAGCTACTCGAAACAATCCGGGAAGGCGTCGCGAACCCGCAATCAACACTTTGGCCCAGTTTACAGAGCGTTCAGTCGGTTCGACTCCTGATTCTTACCATAAATGCTTAAGGCTTACGTGGACCGCAAGTGGAATACGCCATCCAGGAGTAACACCCGAAGCAGAGGCAAGGTTTTGCTGCACTTGGCAATGTTCAACGAAGGACATCCAAGAACATTAGGGGCATAGCCCATTTGCCCTACCAGCTTAGATTGAAATCCTTAGGAACATACGGCAGTCAAGATCTGCACTCGTAAGGGACCTGATAATGGTTTGCCACATATAGTAGAACCCAAACCACATCTGCAGCCCGCTGCTGGTACTGAACCTCAATAACCAACCTGAGATGTCATCTATTAAAGCTGACAATACGGTATAGCCAGGTGGAATGTCATCGAGATAACTTCACCCTTCGGGTGTGTCAGCCGTAGAACGCCCTCCAAACGCAAGATATCACTGCGTCTAAATCAGGAATATCAAAAAACGACTTGATGAAGCGTTGTCTCATTCACATTCCATTTTATTACTCATGTTATCCTGGCCACATAAGGCAACCAAAGTGTGTGTTTCCAAGATTCTAACCGGGTGGATTTATATATAACATCATGTAAACATATCGCCCTTTTTATGCACGTTTAAATGCTGACAGATGAGAGCAATGCTGTCAGCATACTTCAATGCAAAAAGTCGACCACCTGGAAGCAGTTGCACACATTCTACGTCGAGTCAAGTGAAACGAGATCTTCATGACATAGTCGAAAGCGAAGTTAAAGAAGATAGGCGACAGCTGGCATCATTGTCTCACATAGCTAGAGATATTAAAGGGCGGCGACAGCTTGCCCCAAGCTTTCATTCTACACGAAGTACGCGCCTACAGTGTTCTGATAATGATTATATATTTATCAGGCACATCTTGCTTGAGCAAGCAGCCCCAAAGGGCACATCAATCCACGTAATCGGAGGCACCTTTGATGTCGAGAAACACAACTACGGTGGGTCGCTAATAAATATGGTGGTGTTCCGACAACTGATGTAAGATAGAGATGTGGTCAGTGCAGTGTCGACTCCAGCAAAAACCGGCTTACTCCTCGCGAATATGAGTTTCACGGGTGCGAGACAGTCTGTGGAGAACGACAGACGCGAGTAATTTAGAGGCAATAAGATTAGATCGATTCCTCTTTGGTGACGACATTTAGAATGTGAGATTCCCGTGAAAATTGGGACTACAACGGAGCGGCTCCAGTCTGCTGGGACACTCTCCTTCCTCCAAAACTTTCCTGCTAAGTTGTGTGAGTTATCCAGACGAACGGATCGACAGAACTTAAGAACGCTCTTGGCCATGTCAACGTGTGTGTCAAGTCAAGTCAAGATAAGCTTTATACACTCGTGTGGGAGCCCTTTCAGCAACAATTTAGACTAACACTGCGGATACACTACAGCAGAATATCGGTGGGAAACTGATGTCAATTGACACGAACAACAAGAGTACATTTTTAAGCAAGTAAACGTTCTTGTAATTGATGCATAATCTCTCTTGGGTAGACTAACAAGCGACAGATAGCGAAATGTAGAGTTGCGATTCAAAGAGGTATGGGAAAACATAACCAAATTTCAACCGCGTTGAAGAAATGGATTTTAAACCAGCCAAAAGGGCGTGTAGGTGGTGAGAGGGGTCTTTTAGAATCTTCGATGAGGTTAAGGCACGTATCAAAATGCTTGCTGACCACAAGATCAACGGGGGTTTCTCTGCTTAATCCAGAGCACTGTGATATAAATTTCAGTGATCTCACAAGAAGAGTATGATCCCTTTGAAATAGTACGGTGAAAATAACAGGGGAACAGTACAGCCAATGGGGGAGAATACATGCGTTTACAAACTTAAGAATTAGTGCATGTGGTAGGGAGAGCATTTTGAGCTTAAGAGAGCAAAAGGATAGTTTTCTGACTTTTTGAAAAGTTGCACAAATATGCGTCGACCAGGATAAATTATAGGACAAGAAAATATCGAGATACTTTACGGAATATGAACGAGGGGTTTTGGTCACTCATAACCAAAGGAGGAGAGGCGTTCAAAAAAGTGCGCAGTCTGCCCCCACGATTTGCTGGGATTGGGAAAAACCTTCTACCGCCTAACTGCGTGAAGTGTATGCGATTCGCAAAATAGTCACACATAGCATAACATTCGTGTGGGGGAACGCAGTTTTCGTACAAAAGGTTTAGTAGTAGCGATCTGTCAAGGACCCCAAAAGCATTAGTATAATCAAGGAACAGGAGCCGCACAGTCTTGCATGTTTTATGCAAAGTAGATGTAATGGAATGCACAAGGTACGAAACGGCATCCAGGGTAGACTGCCCTGACTTGTATGCAAACTGTTTAATATCAGTCATAATTACTGGTAAAGATTCGGGGAACTAGTAGTTTTTTAAGGACTTTCAGCACCACGGAGGTAGACATTATTGGCCGACACTTCTGTGATCCCTTCTTAAGCACAGGTGTTATTCTGGCTTCTTTCCAGATGTCGGAGATTGTGCCAGTCGTTAAACAACGGTTGAAAATCTCTTCAGATGTGACTGTAATGCATTAGCACACTTTAAAGTGATTGGACATAAGGAATCGGGGCCACTAGCCTTGTTTGGCTGAAGTCTTGTTAGTTCCTTGTAAACACTAATATGGGCAAACAAGGTGGGAGGATCATTGATGGGGAAAGGAGGCAGAAAGAAAGTGCTTGCTGATGATGAGCTAAAATCGGCATTCAGCTTGCACACATCCACAGTATCTAGTGGGCAACTGGAATCTTTTCCAGTGAGCTGTTCTAAAGGCCTCCACAAGTCACGGCAAATGCGGTTTCCTAAAACTGCTTCTATGTGTAGATTATCTAACCATTTTATCTCGGCTTTTACATCCACAAATAGACATTTGACATGAATTGTTAGTTTGTTTTTGTAAGCCTGTTCTTTTTTTCTGCGTAGTTTCATGAGTAGTGGGGATGAAAATCTATCAATCCGAAGATAGATAGTCTCAATGGGGCAATAAAGGTTGAAACAGAACTTGATATAATCGGTGTTCGCATTGAGCTGAAAAATCATCATTGGCGAATATTGAGAAGTCGGTTGGGTTGAGTGTAGTTTAAGCATTGCGATGTTTGCTGCTGAACAGTTTCGCCGCTTAAGAGTTCTGAATGGCTTTCTTGTCATAATTGGTCTTACGGTAAAGCTTTGGACACACTTTCGTGATGCAATGGTCAGAATTGCCAAGCGGGACGCGTCTATGTGTGGAAAAGGTTGTTTGTTAATAAAAGCTAAACCTGAATGTGCGTCAAGTCTGGTGGGAAATTCTACCAAGTTGGTTAGATCCAGCACTTTAATGAAGTCTGTCAGTTCTATCGAAGTCACCAACAATGACGCAGAGGGAACATTCTAACCGGTTGTAATTCCGAGGCAAAGCGATCTGCAAAGATTTTTTTATCTCTGATAGTGCTGCGTCAGGCGTTAGATACAGTGACCCAACTACAAGCAAACGTGATCATCATCCCTCGGGAGCCAGCTCAGCATAGCAGTCGGGAGGCATCAAATGATGCCAAATCCGAAGTGTGGGTCTTCATCCTCTTGACCAAGTTGTCGCTTGCATTATCCTTCTCTTACATCCAGAGACCGGTCAGTGTGTTGTATTGATTCACATGTTTAATACTACCAACATTGAAAATGACAAAAAAGAGAAAAAATCGGCGTGTGAAAAACAAACTAAAAATGTTTTGTTCTATGTTTTGTCAAAATGTTCCATTCTTCTTGCGGCATATTAGCTGAAGTGTGTTGCCCACCTTCAACTTGCATGTCACAATGATTATGACGCAATGACTGTCTTCTATCCACTGATTTCCATGGCTTTGTTGGCTCTATGTCTAGTTACTAGACCGTTGAGATTACACAGAAACCGGTCGCGCAAACAACGCAAGTCGCGGGAATGGGTATGCTAGTGTGCACAATACGTGGCCCGACCATCGGTGTCTGGTGCATAACATGGTACTGAGCAGTTTACTCGCTCTTCCTGCATCAAATGTACGATGTTGAACACGCTCACTGCTAACGCAGTGTTCCCACCAGATGTCAGCTAAGCTGCGAAGGCGGCAATGATCGAATGCAACTAACCTCTTTAAATCTGTCGACCAAATAAGCCAGGTTTCGCAACCACACAGGAGGGTTGAACGGACGGCTGCATTGTAAACTCTGCCCCTCAGAGTGAGAATGATGTTTCACCGGCGCCATAGGTGGCAGAGACTGGCAAAAGCGCACCGAACGTTTGCTATACAGTTGGTGATGCCATCTGTTCCTCCATAGATGCTACAGCTGCCTAAATACTTGAATTTCTCGAAGATTTCTAGCTAATGACCAACAGGCATCAGTGCAGGTGTGGGTCCTGCCAATCTTGGGGAAGGACTTTGCATTTCGTGGGCGCAAAATATAGCCCGAAACGACTGACAGCTAATGTTAATTTATCTAGTGCTGCTTGACATGCTTGGGAGTTGCCACAGATAAGGTCAATGTCGTCGGCGTACTCCATGTCAAAAAGTCGATCACCCATAGCATCTCTACATCTTGTAGATGTTGCACAGTAAACGCCGTTTCCATGACTTCGTCAATAGCGAAGTTAAAAAAAGAAGGTGACAATGGGCATTCCTGTCTCACACTGCTGGAGATATTGTGGGGCGACCATAAACTTCCACCTTGCCTAAACTGCGCGTGTAAAGTGTTCACATGATATAGACCAAGGTATCAAGCACACCTTTCCTGAGCAGACAGTCCCAAAGGACACATCGGTCCACAAAATCGAAGACACCTTTGATGTCGAGGAACACGACAACGGGAACCAGCTGTGTAAAGTGGCGCAGTATACACTGGTGACCCGAAAATTACCATCATTATACACATTAACTAGAGGTGGAAAGCACTAGCTAGTGTGCCGCAATACATAGCACCAACTATGATCAGCTAATGTTCAATGCCGAATGGATGCGAGGATCAACATTGCCACGAATGAAAAGATCGGGATAGTGATTGTTAACGTGCAATTACCTTCCAAATGAAAACTACATGTGATTCGTGAAGTGAATTCGTAAAACCCTTGCTTTTGCAAAACATGGAATGGTAGCGAGAATATACGATCAAATGGGGATGAGAAGGGTGGAATCAACCATAAGGAATCCGGCTGACAAAAATAAATTGAAGTGAACTAGCAGAAGAGAGCAAAAATCACGGAGATTGGGAACTCACCGTAAGCATTAAGAAATGCTTCGATAGAACAGTATAACTTATCCTGATCCCCTTCGGCTAAGAAGTTGAATAGGCACAATAGAGACTACTTGATATTGGATGGATGGTATCGTCCGCTTTAGTCAGTTCTGTTGTCAAGTCAGATAAAACTCTGCAAAAAGTACTGAAATCTTCACATGCGGATTTCCAATTATGATCGAATCTGTTTGTATCATTTGTCAACAACACGGAAACGAATTACCTCAAAACAGCAAAGCACTTAGCCAAGTCATTTTTGTACTTTGGTGACATCAATCCTCGGCGATGAGTGACGAGAGTGCACCTGCAACAATACAAAATGCATCAAGATTAACCACGCGCAGTTGAAGGAACAATAGCCAACGGCTGCTATGCCGTTGACGATAGCATTCTCTTGGTCCAGGCTTAAGAAATTCGCCGAGTCGATAATCTAAAAATAGTCTGCGTATCTCTGTGGCAGGTTGAGCTACGCCATACGGCACTTCCCAAATGGCTTCAGATTCCCTGATACCAAAGAGATCAACGGTTAGCGGTCGGACGATTTTAGTCAACATCCTCCTCACTTGATGATAGGAAGTATTTGAAGGTTCTCGTTCCTTAAAACGCAATAGGTTATAAGCTCAGCTCGATTAGCCCAAAGCAGGACTGCCATGCGTTGCAGCTGAGGATGGGAAGGTAACACACGTGCTTAAAGGTTTGTCACAGACCGCCTCAATATCAGCAGCGCTAGTCAAGTAGGCGCAAACCCATTAACCTCTACATGCAGCTAGAAGTTTGAACAGGTACGTAACCTCCAACACACACGAGTCGTAGACACTTTCGGTGCTCTGTTCCCAACCCCACAATTCATGACCGGTTTACTCATCATTTGGACTTCTCAGGTGGAGAAAACCTGAGCTAAGAGCGGGAGGGAGCATATAATGGTAGACGGCAGACACCCTGTCCAATATGCCACAGCACTTCGCGAGCAGCGCTTGACACAGCGACCGCAGGTTCATTGTTGGATTGTGACATGAAATCACAACCAGGGCCAGGATTTACTTAAAATCAAATATCGGCAATTTCGATCACTCGGACAGCACCAAAAGAATAGATTTTCAGTAGTTCTCCCTCCAAATCCTGCAGTCTATAACCAGAAAGCAGCCAGTAAGAATTCAGCTATGCACTCACTGTAGTATTATCTTCATGCGACACTGGCGGCATTCACTCATTGCGCTTACTCCTAGATAACACAGCTTTAACAGTCTGTCAAGTCAGTGTGGGCACTGACGTGAACCCCGGGCTGAAACTGCTCATGGATGCAACCAAATCAGCATCCGGATGTGTGAAGGAGCTGCCTTGTTCAATGTTATGAAATCACACGGGGAAAATGGGCGCACGTCTGCCACGGATGCAGATGACCCCGCAAACGGTAGTGCTGACTCGGTGAAGGTGACTTCTACCACCAACTGAACCAGCTTCTTCGTCACATAAAAAGCGCGGATACTGTAGTGCCGACTAATAGTCTCAACTCTCAAGTTAGAAAATTATCCAGTGATGAGTTGCATCACGGAAGCCAACACGTTGTAGGCTTCCGTAATGATAACGGTAGACGGTTGCTACACCTGTGTGAAGATGCTCGTTTATCTCCCGTGAACACTAACTTCAGACACAGCACCCGCCGTAGGGTGGCGTGGTGTCTACCGCCATCGAAACCGCCGCGAACGCAAATAAAGCACATCGCGACCAGTTACCGTTGGAAAAGTTGCGTCCAAAACTATCACCCGATTTGGAGCAAAAGTATGGACTCCCACCATGCGCTTGCGTGTACGGATCTCCGAGTGCAGTTCGACGGACGCCCGAGTGCATAGATAGTTGCCAACTAGTGTTGAACAGTTAGGCACCTTGGCAACATTCACATCAAGCACAACGACACTAGAGATATCAATCATCAGCCAACACCCGAAATGCAAGAAACCCAATGTGCATGCACACCTACAAACCAAATGCTACATCGACCGCATCAGGGGCCTGGGTTAGCAAATTGAATCGAAAGCAGCGTATGAACCAAGCGCTGCGCAGATGGTGAATAGATGCTTAGCTTACTCGTCCTGTCTTAAATGTTGGCCTCACGTGGTCATGCTGATGGATTACGTGGCCGACTTGGCTCGAGCACTCGCGGCCGCATGTTCTACAGCACCATGAGCTCGACGTCGATGGCCTAGAATACATCGGCACCTGCCGTTTCTTCAACCAACGTCTCTCTTCCGCATTCAATAACGCTTCCTTCTGTACTCGAGCGATTGTGCTCGTGTTAAGCCCACACTACGAGCGCCGATTAGTCGCTTTTGATTCCCCACACCTAAACTCAACATTAGTTAGGGACAAATTTACCTTAATCATGTCCTGGTAAGGTAACTGCGGTCTTCGCATGTGTCGTTTCCCTGCACTAAGTTTGCCGTATAGAAGCTGTTTGGGTACCCTCGTTGAATCCATTCGGCTGATATGCCCCAGCTACCACAGGTGCCGCCAGCAGAAGTATGCAGTCCACGGCATACATGCCAATGTGGTGCAGCAATTCCGTGTCTGTAAGTCGGTCACGGTAGCCGATGCGTAGAATCCGACCTGGGCACTGTTGATGGAAGCGCTCCAGATGACGGACGTCCTTTCGGTACAGCGTCCACGCTTCGCTGCTGTATAAAAGGACGGACAACATCATCGACTTATTTACTAACAGCTCCGTCCCAATGGTCAGCAGACGATTGTTCCACACCCGACTCTCCACCTTTCCAAATGCATCACCCTTCCTCGATACTTGCATGCGCAGCTCACTTGTCATGTGCAGGTCGGTTGATATTACACTCTCCAAGTACCAAAAGCTGGAGGTGATTTTCAAAACGTTAGCAGCGACCTAAATTTGCGGCAAGCATCCAGATTCCATTTCTGGTGAATGCGGAAAAAGATAAATAGTCTTGCTTGTGTTGACGGTGAGCTCGAAATTTGCTGCTGTCAAAACAAGAGCCGTTGTCACGCGTTGAAAAGCAATCGCGCTGTGTGCAAACAACGCACAGCCGTCAGTAAACAGTAACGTACGGATGGTTGTCTCACAGATTAAAGTTCCCGCTCCGAAAGGACGGATATTCAGCAACACACCATCAATACGGTGCTCAACAAAGACATCGTAAGCATAGTCAGCATCATAAGCAAAAGACATCATAACACATAAGCAAACATTAAACAGAGCAAGGACTGAGACACAGCCTTGCTTCACATCACAGATAACAGCAAAGTTAAACGAGATTTCTCTACTCAGCAGAACCTTCGCCCGCATACACTCGTCATCAGCAGAATCCCGGTACGCAGTACCGAGCTTCGCTGCCGCGCAACCATCACCGACCGCAAGTGGGTTAAGGACAGTGCGAAGGTTGCTCTGCCCCCATGAATCTCCCTTCAAAAAAATTTCTGATGCTCTGGCCACCGCAGAGGATAATCAGCGGTGCCCCATCTGCTGCATCGAGCAGGGTGGATAGGGGTTTGGATGCTACTGCTCAATCCTTCCCGTCTTCTTATTCTCCCTCTTACGCTTTATAACCCTTATCGTTCTGTTCCAGCTTCACTTTTATCCCCCAAGTTTTAAACCCCCCAATTCTCAGCCCTCCCCCACCTTGCTTCAATAGTCGCTTGTCTTTTAGTTTCCACTCACATGTGAGCGCGGAGCGTCATTCCTGCCCTGTCAACAGGCCCGTGTCCAATCAAGCGGCCCCTTCTAGTTCATCGGCTTGCATTTGGAGCCCACGATCCTCCTTCAAATTAGCATGCCTCAATGTTCGCACATTGCTTCAGCTCGGTCAACAGGCAGCAATTGCCCGAACATTAGAGACCCTCTCAATCGATATCTGCTGCTTATCGGAGACCCGCCTGCAAGACTCGAGCTCTGTACTCACTCTGCGATCCCCTTCAGGTGACACCAGCAACACTTTCTCATCGCGCTTATCCGGTGACGATGGAGATTCGAGCACCGGCCAAGCCGGTGTTGGTATTGCCCTGAGTCCCCGGGCGGAAACTGCTCTGGTTGATTGGATTCCAATCAGTAGCCGGATGTGTGCGGTCCGATTGGCTGGCTCGTGCAAAACTTCGAAGCCGCACGGGACTGACAGGTGTCTATTCGTTATCGCTGCATATGCACCGACAGACTGTAGCGATGACTCGGTAAAAGACGACTTCTATCGTCAACTGAACGAGCTCCTTAGCCACAGAAGAAGCTCGGACACTGTAGTGTGGCCTGGGATCTGAACGCTCAAGTTGGAATATTCACTGATGAGCTGCATCTGGGCGGCCAACATGGTATAGGCTCCCGTAATGATAACGGTGAGCGGTTACTTCATTTGTGTTAGGATGCTCGCTTATTTCTTGCGAGCACTAATTTCCGACACAGCACCCGCCGGAGGTTGACTTGGCGCCCACCAGCCTTGGACGCAAATCGATCACATTGCAATCAGTTACCGCTGGAGAGGCTGCATCCAGAGCTGTCGCTCGATTTGGAGCACAGGTATGGACACCGATCATGCACTTGTATGTGCTGATCTGCGGATGCGCTTTGGCGGACGCCCACGACGACGTTGTGAGCGCATTGACACCAGCCAACTGACGAAGCCAGCTGTTCTAAATGCTTATCAAAGTACGCTGTCATGCGAGTTGGATAAACGCTCACTGGATGCAATTGAAGGTCACTGGTCTCATATTCACCAGACCTTACTTGCAGCAGGAAAATCCTCATGTGGTATGTCTAATCGCCAACATGGACATTGGGTCTTTTCACAGTCTCTGGAACTTATAGATGCTCGCCGGCATATTCCGGCTGGAAGCGAACACAATGAAACTCGCAAAGAGCTCCGGGCAAGACTTCGTGCTAGCTTGAAGAGAGACCGCGAATCCTGGTGGTCTCATCGTGCATCAGAGATGGAAATGGTCGCTGCCCTTGGTAACCATCGTAAGTTATTCCGTCTGATACGGACATCGTGCAGCAGAAGACTTGGTGTTAGTGAAACTATACCTGACGAGAATGGACAGTCAATCCACAAGTTGTCAAAACGCTTGGAGCGTTGAGCTGAGCACATTGAAAGGCAACTTAATCGGCCGGAATTGTTAGATTTCTCGCCGGCCACTGATCGTCCCGCTCCGTGGCCTGTCCCTTTGGATCCACCCGCTCGCTCAGAAGTCGAACGTGAGATCGGACTGTTGAAGTTCAATAAAGCCGCGGAACCTGATGATCTTCCTCCAGCCCTCTTCAAATT